CCCCCCCCCCCCACAGATTTTTTAGGTGAAGGGAAGGATGAATGTCTATATTCACAAAAGATATGTTAACACAAGTGTTATTATTTCATAAGTATGACGGGTCAATTCATGAAGATAATTCCTTTTGAAATATTTGTAAGTAGGAAAGAGGAAGAATCCTTTTTCTGGGAGGCATATAGGTAACAGTTCTCTCAATGCAGAATCACCAAAGGCAGTGCTATCAGACACTAGCCTCTTAGGGAGACAAAGGTGCCACTTCTTGACCTCAGTCCCGCTGGACTTGCTCCTGCTCTTCCTTATTTGGCAGAAGCAGCACCTACCCTGAACCCCCACGAGCTGGATAACTCTCAACGTTCACCTGCAACAGTTAGGAAAAAGCCAACATCCAACTAGTTCGCTCATGGGAGACAGATACCTCTTCTTTCTGCAGACACTTAATTACAGTGAGCATATTTATGGCAGGTTAATGTTTCTGACTGATAAGTGAATTCATGAAGCTGGGTGTAGACAGTCTGAAACTATAGGAGATTCTATGAGATGATCTGAGAGCAACATTTATGGTAATGAAGATGTTTAACATCCCTTCTACTGACATCATCATAAGTACAAATTAAAGGCCATTCTGTCTATCTGGTAAAACTGGTGAAAAATTTGGGAAACCTTACTACTCTTCTAGACTGGGCAACAGACGCACTATGAGATTATACCCACTTCTCCCTAGTACTGAGCGTGCAAAGAATACCAAAAGGCAAAACTGTGTTTTCTTAGTTTCTTTTTGGCCATGTGGGGAAAATGACTTCTTAAAATCATTGTTAAATAATACATGAAATTAGAAGATGTTTGAAATAAAATAATATCCACCAATTTGAATGAATTACCTAAAGTACTAAAAAAGTTCAGTTATATTTAATAGCTGTAGAATTTTCAATGCACATGGTTTAAATTTAGTAAAAAAGGTGAAAGATTTATACGCTCTGAAGAGAACCATTGTCACCCCAATAAATTTAACAAAGTGTTTAAAAAAATAAATAAATTTAGTAAAAGAAAATCTTTAAATGCAGATCAGGGGAGGGAGGGAGGAGAGGAAGAGGTGAGATGGAAGGAGAAACGGTGACTTGGTGGAAAGTGAGTCGGGCAGAGGAGAGAAGGCGAGAGGAAAGGAGAAAAGGAGAGTGTGAAACAGAACAGGACTCAAGAGGGTGAAAGAAGGGAACTACACTCTCGGTTGTTATTAATATAAATGAAATTGTTAGTGGCTTTCAAAGTTACTCTTAGTGTAAATTGTCTAAATGACTGATTATACTGACCATGTACTTTTATAATCCTGCAAACAATATTTTAGTTTTACTTTGTAGGATTCATGTAATGTTCCTGGACTTAGCTGGATTCTGTTGTTGTTTGGGGAGTTTTTATATCCACCAGATATTTGATTAGACTTGTTTTTTCCTGAAGAGAATGAAAATTAAAGGCTTATATTTAATACCTAGAATTCTAACAGTTTTACAGCTGGATTGACACATTAAAACCCCATGAGTATTCCAAGGAATCTTTCTACACCAAATGTACATCTCTTTGGTTCTATGTTCTATTTAATATTTTGGTTTAGTATTCCCACATTCTTCTTGCTTTAAAATTTATTTGTACTGTTGACAGCATTACAGGTGTCCCTTGTTTTCCCCTCTTTGTCCCCTCCGCCCAGCCCCTGCCCCACGCCGGCCTTCACAGCACTATTGTCTGTGTCCGTGGGCTCTGCATAGGTGCTTATCTGTTCTTTGGTTAATCTCCTCCCACCCCCTCCGGTCCCCTTCCCTCTGAGATCCGTCTGTCTGTCCCATGCTTCTGTGTCTCTGGACTTATTTTGCTCATAATGAACTCAGGAACCAATAATATTATTTTATAGTGTAAGATGCTTCAATGCTGATCATTTCAGAAACTTTTATTATATTTTTGTTGATTGATGTGTTTTTTTGAAGTCTAATTCTGTGTATTGCACTTTAAGTGTCTTAACATTGATTTTTCACCTTTTCACATGTATGCCTTAGATTATACAGATGAATGGGAAGACTGCGCACTACATCTTTCCTCATGCGAGGATAAAAATAACGAGAGACTCTAAGGATCACACCGTTTCAGGTAAAGAAAATCAAATCATCTAGTCCTTTTAATTTTAATGTCAGTTTGAGATATGTATTTGGATCTCAGTTTGGATGAGTGATTAAATTTTAGAAAACACTTATTTTGGTTATAAAATGTGTTTTGGAAAATTTCAAAAAATCAGCATGCTATACATTTGAACATAAAAAAGAATAATGGCATGGTCATTAATATGACAAATTACTAAATGGTACATATTTAGATCATTCTTTTCATTAACTGCATTTCTAAAAATGTACATGGCATTATAATGCTCCATAGTTGTTGATCTACTGAGTAACATGGTAACTGGTTTTGAGACTATTAAACATTCTTACACAGGAAGTAAAAAGCTATCTTGGGTTCTTCTAAGGAATAAATTCCTCCATACCTTGTCTGTCTGAACATTATCAATTATGCTGAGTTTTTGTTTGTTTGACTATGTCCTTCTGTAAACCAAAGCTTATGATGTTTTTTAAATGGTTCATTTTGAAATGATTTTGGACTACAAGAAAATAGTAAACTCAGTTCTTTTTCCCACCCTTTCCCCGGTTTTCCTAAGGTTCACATCTATCCAACCACAATGAGATTATCACAGCCAAGAAGTTAATTTTGATATGATACTATTAAAACACCTACAGGCCTTATCTAAATTTTGAGTTTCTCCACTTACCCACTATATTTTTCTTTTTCTGGTCCAGGATTCAATCCAGATCTCACATGGCATTTAGTTGTCACATCACTTTAATCTCCTGATAGTTTCTCACTCTTCCTTTGTCTTTCCTGGGTTTGATATTTTGAAAGATGATAGAATTTTTATATTACAGATTTTAAAATTTGTTATTTAAATCTGAGACAAAATATAACTTTTGTTGAGATTAATTATTTTTTAAATATAAATACTAAAGTATCCTCACTCAAGTATATTATTTCTATTTCATTCACATTGTACATCAAGAGAAAATATTTATAAATATATAAGTTCTTACATATATATTATAGATATATTTATAGGTGATCTGTCAACATGGTTAATGTGCTGGAGAGGATTTTTTTGTAGAAATGATATAACAAAGAGCAAAAAGAGGTATTTTTTCAGTGTACTTGCTATTGCTCCTTGCAGATTCTAAACCATGGAGCTTGTGAATATGGAACAGGTTTTGCTTTGAGCAATTTTTCTCTCTTTATTTTCATAGAGAACAAATCGATTAGGAGTCTCATGTTTTTTCCCTTTTAAGATTGGGTAATTTGTCTTCTACTAGAGACAGATAATTCAGCCTTTTATAGTTTTATTGTGTGCATATTATATTTTAACTACTGATGAAAATTCCAGGGGTGAATCTTAAACTGTTTTTGTAGAAATAATTACTGGCTACAAACTATTTCAATCCCCTCCAGCTCAAAACAACATAATACTTTCTAGCAATGCCAAAATATACTTTTTACAACAGAAATCTTCAAACCATTTTTAGTAAAGCCTTAGCACTCTGTTACAATGAATCTATTTTTCTAGCTGTATTATTATATTTATACTATATTAATAATTTCCTCAACCTTATTATATTTTGCCACTCATTATTTTAATTTGCTTTCTTCTACTACAGTTAGGAAAAAGGTTTAAAATATAAGAATAACCAAAATAAGGACTATTGATTTCTTATAAGTATTGTAGTCTGAAAACAAAATTCAATTTTCTCAGTATATAGATTTTGCAAAATAAGAAAAGATTATTATTGAACAATAAAGTTAGTAACAGTGTAATATATTATCTCTCTGAATGCCCCATTTTCTTCTGGTATTCCTAAAATAATATTTTAAATATTTTCCAATATATTTACTCTGTATTCATTACTGCAGAGTAAATATATTTTTCAGGTGTCCTTATGTTGCATGATTTCAGATTTTTGAAAAAATGTGTATCCTTTTCAAATAAGGCTTCAGTGCTTTAAAGGGATTTAAACACTTCCCTATCCAAGGCTAGAGCCTGAAACGACATTCTGACAAACAGTGTCTAGATGTTCTAAACTAGCGATGGGGAAACCCTGGCACAGAGCATTTATGCTTCTGGCTAATCTGTGCCATTTGCTGCTCAACCAAGCCTAGTTTGATTCACTAAATATTTAGTGATATTAAGGATTTACTGTTATATTTTGCTATGGTTACCATTTTATATTAACATTTTTAATAAAAATTAAGAGGATATTATTTAGAGTTGCTTGCTAAGATCTTTACAGATGAAACAATACCTTGTCTGGGATTTGCTTCAGAATTAGCTGTGTGGCCCTACCCAGTTGCTCAGTGGTTAGAGCATCAGCCCCCAGACTGAAGGGTCCCGGGTTTGATTCCAGCCCAGGGCACGTACCTCGGTTGCAGGTTCAATCCCCGGCCCTGGTTGGGGTGCGTGCGGGAGGCAGTCATCCATGTGCCTCTCACATCAGTGTTCTCTCTCTCTCTCTCTCCCCCAGCCCCCTTTCGCTCTCTCTGAAACGCAAGAGAAAAAATATCCTTAGGTGAGGATTAAAAAAAAAACAAAACAAAAAACAAAATGAGCTGTGTGGAAGATGATAAATAGGTAAAACAAAACTGGCTATGAGTTGATAATTGTTGGAGCTGGGAGATTAACCACACTGGGTTTTATTATTGTCTTGCCATTAATTTTATATGTTTAAAATTTCCCATAATAAAACAAATTTAATTTGTTTGTTTTTCATGTTTAGAGACAAAGAACAGTGCCCGGTAGCTTTGTCAATAGTGAAAAAGCTGCCTAAGCTTATAATTTAACTGCCTTTGTAAAACAAGGTAAGGACATAAGCAGGGAAGGAGTGAAGAATAAAACGTAGTGTAATTGTGCTACTGGACTTATCTGGGTGATCACTTAGGAAGGTACATAATGTCCAATCACTGGTTATACACCTGAAAGTAATGTAATATTCTGTGTCAACTGTAATGGAAAAATAAAAAAATTATTTAAAATAAAGTAAAATAGGTCCTGCTGGGTAGTTCAGTTGGTTAGAACATCATCCTTGTACACCAAGATTGCAGGTTCGATCTCTGGCCAGGGTACAAACAAGAAGCAACCAATGAAAGCATAAATTAGTGGAACAACAAACTGATGTTTCTCTCTCTCTCTCTCTCTCTCTGCTTCCTATCTCTCTCTAAAAGAAATCAATACAAATAAAATAAAAGAAAATGTAGTATAACTGCTCTTCCAAACAGAGAGGGAAATGGTAATTAGTAAATTTTAGTTTTGGTTATATAAGTCCATTGAAAGTAGAAATACTGTGGATCTTTTGTAATATTTTAATAAACCATTCTAACTACATATAGCATTAAAATGTTTTATAAGAATTACATAAAACTAGCATACTTCACAAAAGAGGGAAAGAATGAATTTTTATTTATTGGAAGCAAAAATAATTTCAAAACAGGAGACAAGACTAGAAATTTTTTTTTATTGTTTTTCCTCTGTGGTTCTCAAAATATGAGCAAGGAACCCTCATTGTTCCCAAGATTGTCTCAGGGGGTCCACAGGGTCAAAACTAATTTCATAGTGATGCTAAGGCGGCATTTACCTTTTGCACACTTGTTTTCTTGTAAATGCAGAGTTTTTCAAAGGTTACATAACGTGTGATGACACAACACAATATCTACAGAGTAGATACGAGAATTCAGCTGTCTTCTGTTTAGCTCAAGATTAAGCAGATTTGCCATAATGTAAAACAACACCACCCTTCTCATAAATGTTTTATTTTATTTTAGTTAATTTTCATCTGAGGATATTTTTTCCATTGATTTTTTTAGAGAGAGTGGGAGGAAGGGAGGGACAGAGAGAGAAAGAGTGAGACATTGGTGTGAGAGAGACCCATCAATTGGTTGCCTCCTGCACACGCCCTAGTTGGGGCCAGGGATCAAACCTGCAACCCAGGCACATGCCCTTGACCGGGAATTTCACCCATGACCCTTCCATGGAGAGGGCTGCCGCTCTAACCGCTGAGACCCTGACTAGGGTATAAATGTTTTATTTTTTAAATGTAGTAATTTTCTTTAAAATGGGATTTATTTTAACATGGAATGAGTTTATTATTATTTCTAATTCATTAAATATTTTAAATTCTTGGTTCTAACATAGTGCAGAATGTATACATAGCTGTACATCATATAAAGAAAAGCTCTTTGAGGTCCTCAGTACTAGTAAAGAGTATAGAAACCAAAATGTTTGAGAACCACTACTCTAAGGATATTTATAGAGAAGTTTAAAAAACAAATAAGCTCTTTTTCTTCCTTAGGCAATGTAAAATTATTTTGTAACTGTTTTTATGACTCATATTGGATGCATTTAAAATGTTTTGTTCATTAATATTTCTTCATTGAACACCCATGGTGTGATTTACATTGTGCAGGTTGCTGGATTGATAGAATGCATACAGCAAACAGCCTCTTCTGAAACTTACCTCTAATTTAGTAGAAGAATTTGAAATATAAGTGATTATTAAAATAAAATTTTAGGAACAACTGAGAGAAAATGAGGAATTTATAAAATGTTGTTGTTGTTTCCCGTACATATGTATGTGTACGTGTGTACCCATGTACACATAGGCATCATTACTTCTGTTTTTGTGGTGCATGGCAGAGACAAAGACATGCATATGATTTTCTAGTAAATGGTCCATAATTTTTAGAAAACACATCCTTTAACTTTTAACTGTAAGCTTCAAAGAGATAGGTATAGGTGCTGATCAACAACTGTACAATGGTTTTGAAGTCATGATTCAACCAAGCACAAGGCAGCAAAATGGAGAGAAATAGGTAATGAGGTTTAGAATCAGAAAGACCTGAGTTGAGGTTCAGCTCTATCACTTACTTAAATTTTGAGGGTAAGTTTATTGTATAAGAGCAGTAAAACCAACTGTACGTATCTCACATAATTGCAAGTGAAGCTAGCACAAAATCTCGTACTTACTATACACACAACAAATGTCGTTTCCCCTTCTCTTAGAAAT